AACAAAGAAGTCCCATTCTTAGCTATATTGGCTCTTAGCCATGGCCAGACCCGCCCTCCTCCAGTAACTTGTCTAGCACCCTTTTAAAGCCACGTAATCTAGGAGTCGTCACGACATTCCTGGCGTGACTTCCATAGCTCTGTTATGCATTACATTCTGTGAAGAGGTACTTTTTAACACCTGTCCCAAATCTACTGCCAGTCAATGTCATTTAGAGTGAAAAACTGTGCCCTGTCCATTTTGAATATGCAGTAGGATGCACATCGTGGCACAGAACAGGCAGAGCTTTAGAGAAACTTCTCTGGTGACTAGCAAAGTCTGGGGAGTGGTTTGGTGAGCCCGTTGCCACCAGGGAAATCTGCTCAAACCCTTCTCTGATCACGCCACAGGTGAATGTCATAAAACAAGGCGCTGTCTTGCTCCTGGTCGCTGCCTTCAGTACATCGCCTGGCAAGCTGTTGGCAGTGCCCTGGCCCATTTGTGGTGATTTCTGTCGCCAAATCCAAGTACCTCAAGAAAGCATAGGGGCTGGTAGGGTTGCCTAACTCTGGCTTGGGAAATTTCTGGTGGTTGGGAGGAGTTGTCTGGAGAGGGAGGGAGGGAGGGAGGGAGGGGTTGTTGTCACCCTCTGAAGCTGCTTCCCCCCCCCCCTCCGAAACTGACCTCTGTCATTGAGAGATCAGTTATAAATCTGGGGAACTTCCAGGCACCACTGGGAGGTTGGCAACCGTTAGTCTTTATGAGCAAGTGCATCAGATAGGGATCACCCCACACCCTGGGAAAGAGGTTGTGTTCGTCTCTCCCCCCCCCCCCCCGCCCAAAATAATGTCGCAGTGAACACTTGCGTGCTGCAAAGGTTTCAGTTTGTGCAGCTGCTTCAGCCCTCAGCACTGTGGGGCATTTCTTCCTTCCCCGCCCTCCATACTTCCAGTCTTTTGCAACCATTAAATGCCACCATTTAAGAATGTGCCAGTTAACCTCTGCATTGAATAAGGATGTGATCCACTGTGTTTGTGCACATGTTGTCTGTGTGGGGGATGGGCTTAAACAATAGCCGGAGGGAGCTTTGCATTTATTTACCTGGAATCTTTTTCCCCCAACAGCCCTATTACCATATTTAAATGCAAGTATGTCTCTCTTAATTGATATTTTACAGTAGTTTAGAGACACTTTTGCCTATCACTTCTGTTGTTTGGTTTTTCCCTGGTAGCAGTACATGTAGCTATGGTGATAGAACTAGAACTAGCTGGCTGACTACTCTGGATTTCTCTTTTCTGTTCTCTTCTGCTTTTCCCTGTCCTTTTCTTGGGAGCCTTTCTGTAGTTGCCTTCATAATGACAAAGCACAACCTGCTTAGTTACCAACCTAGAGCTTTGCCCTTTCTCGTGTTTGGCATAACCCCCAGCACTGGTGGGCATCGTCTTTCCAGCAGCCTCTTTTCTCTGCAATGAGGACATTTTTAGCAAGCAGCTCATTTGGGCTCAAAAACAAAGGGGGGGAACCCTCTGAATTTGTCAAGACAGTTGCTTCCATCCCCTTCACTCCTGGCCTTCCCTTAATAGAAGCTCAGCCGTATTTTTGGGCCCCAAATTACGCTTTCTCTGCTGTCAGCGTGTACCACCCAGGTCAGTTTCACTGCCTTCTTGCCCAGCCTGCCCGGAGGGTCAAGCTAGATGTGATGCAGGCCGTCCTCTTGCTTTATTCACCTGGTGTCCCAATCGTGTATAAAGCAGGGAATGGGGTATATGTGTCAGATTTTTCAAAAGATATATTTGTATGGGGGGGGGGTCCCACTTTACCACAAAACTCACTGCCGCTTCAGTTTTCTCCTCAGAGATGGGCTGAGAGAAAGCTGCCTGCAGTGATGGTTACCCAGTGAAGTCGAGGGGGTGAGGTTTCGCTCCCCTCGCCAACACACACTTCCTGTTGTCAGACTTAGATACCCACCCCTTCCGTTTTATATAGAAAGGAGGCAGACACGAAAGCCATTGTGGTTGCCCCGCCATGACTAGTTTGGCTCTGCAATACAAATTCAGTCCACATACTATTTGTGGTTCTCAGGCTAGCCAGAGGTCTGTTTTTCTGGTGCCACTAAACTGTTCCTTGCAGTGTTTTTGGAAGTGCCATTTTTAAGGCTATAGCTCCACACTGGAGAGTGAGACAAAATACCCAATTTGCTTTACTCAAAAAAAGAAAAAAGAAAAGGCATTTTGTGTCATGGGCAGTCCAGCTCTTCTTGCCTGGTCCATTTTTTGTAATCTGTGGACACACGTTTTTACAGTGGAAACCTGCCAGTCTCTGGTGTTTCTCTTGCGTTAGAAAACACCTCCCTCCATCCCCGTTGTCTGCCTGAAGAAAATGGTGGCCAGAGTCCTGAGGTCCACAAAACCAGTTATCCTAACTTTATACGCAGAATCTGTGTCTCCTTTTAAAAAGGAAAAAAGAATGAAGAATTGTTAGGTACCTGCTCATTCTGGAGGAACTTTCAGTGCACTTTCCAACTGGATTTTGCCAGTTCACACAGTAAAATCACTGAAAGTGGATTATTTAGTGTGTTTGTGACCATGGCCTTAGAATTAGTGCCTGTTAGTGCTCAGCAGATCCAAATGCACAGAGCAAGAAGATGGTCTGCTCCTCAGAGGGCTTTGCCAGCGTTGTCCCTCAGACATATTGAACGTGTAAACTTTTCTCCGCTCACCTTGCCTACTTTTCTGTCAGTTTGCAAGGCCAGATAACAGGCCGGATAACACAGGGGGAGGCGTGGCTATTTGTGGTGCCGCAATTCAATGCGCCATAACGCAATCCCACGCAGCATGCCACAGTACCTTCCCTCCGCGTCAATGAGAGGCCGGAGGGAAAAGCGGCGTGCCGGCGCAATCGCGCCGGTGCATTCTGGAGGCAGCCCGTGGCAAACCGGTTGCTACTACCTTCGACAGGTATTTTTTAACTCTGCATTTTCGGCAGTATGCCACAGGTTGGCCACGGGCCAGATGTTGTAGTGTGATCATGCCTGGAAACTCTGCCATTCGATCATGGCTCTCCCACAGCAGATTTGCCGTGTGAACGGGGCCATAGCCTGCGGCGGCGGTAGGGCCAGATCATGGTTTGCTGCTCCGCAAGTGAACATTTAAGGAGCCTGTGGTGTACTCCTGCAGTCACCCCCTTCATCTGTCTCTCATTAGCTAATGAAATATTTCTGGGTTTTCGGCAAACCATATTCTAATATTACAGGGAGTGAACCTCTGGCTCCTTAAAGGGTATGTTCATGTAGCAGCAAAGCAGGGTTGGATGTAGCATCTAAGCTAGGCCACAATCTTCCAGACTTTTCGTGTCAGATGCACAAATATAGGCAGGCATACATTTCAGGTAAATCAGAAGTTCATTCTTCGCTGAGGTTGAGTTAGTACAAGTTCTTGTCTCCTCAGCGTCTTCTAAGAAGCACTTGTGATTGATCTAAAATGTCCTCTGTTGCTCCAGCTATTTCTCCAGACTCAGTGCAGGGCACTATAGAAGACTATAACAGCCACATAGCATTTTTCCTGTAAGTTACCCATGTTCGCTTCCTTTTGCAAGCAAACAAGGTACAAAACTTGATTCATCCATTTCATTGTAATGAAACAAGGGTGAAAGCAAGGTAATAGAATCTTAATGGGGCAGCTGTGAATTCAGATACAGCTACCCTAGGATCTTGTTTTAGCCCACATTTCAATGGTCCACAAAGCAGGCTCAATAGAAGAAGAGGCAATGGGGCTTGCTTAAATGTACAGTGAAAATGAAGCCAGGCTGGTTGTTCCAGAGAACAGGTGTGCAGTCAGTTTTTCACCTGGGGACAGGGAAGGGGGAGAGCAAGAGAGGTGCTTCTTTCCATAATGTGAAAACAAAAGAAGTGTCCTGTGATGCCTTAAAAAGTAAGAAGGGCTAAGCCCTCAAAGCTTGTGCTGCCATGAATCTGTTAGTAATGAAGGTGCCACAGGGAGCCTTCTCTTGTTTCTTTTGCAACCAGCTAAAATGGCTAACCCACCGGGATCCACATTTACACAAATGTGAAAGCAGCGAAGAAAAGTGAGGGCCGTGGTGCAGCAGACAATGAGACCAGCATTTTTAGGTGTGAACAGCTTAGGGCATTCTGGTGCCTGTGGCAGGAGATTCAAAGGGGGCTGAATTGATTCGTTTGTAGCCCAGGCCTCCTGTGGCCTTCAGGGCACCCAAGTCTACCATCAGAATCCGCTGGTTCACACAGCTGCCAATCCAGCTTGGCTTCATCTACCACGATAGCCCAGGCGACTCATGCTGCAGAATGTGGAGGCAGAACACGGGAGGAGACTGGGTTAGAACCAGTACGCTGATTGCTTTTCGACATATTTTAACAGGATATTTTAACATGATATGCCCCGCCTGCAACCTGAAGTGGTCGGCTTCCTTCTGCCCCCTCCGGGTCCCAGTGCCTCACTCAGCTTCATGTGTAGCCCGGGTTCATCAGCTGTTCTGCAGATCCATAAAACGTACTAGTAGACTGAGGGCGACTGAGTTTGGCTGAGGTCTGTATTCCTTCAGAGGACAGGCGTGGCATGGCGGGTCCTACTTCGGAATGCCCTCCCCGTATCAAAATGTTCCTTGAGTGTAGTCGGCGAGCGCTGTTGAGAGAGGGCCGGGCTGACCCTCCCACTCGGATGTTCAGGGTGTGGGCGTGCTGTGGTTTCTTGAGGGAAGCGGTCAGAAATGCAGGCCACACATGCTGACTGCATTCTGCCGTCACGTTTCGCATGTCTAGATCGTGTTTTTAGTCTGAGATAGTTTCAGCCTGAGCCCCTCAGAGAGCTGGCAAAGTCCCTGGTGAGACTAAAGCGGGTTGTGCAGTCTGACAGCTGCCCCCCCCACACACACCCCCCATTCGACCATCCTCTCAGCTCGCTGCAGCTGGATACACACGGTGGTGCCCTTTGCTTGTAGCTGTTTGTTGCACCTTCCCTTTGACCCTTCTTGTTTCTCCTCACGCCCAGGTTTCCCAGCAGCAGCCTATGGACCAGTAGCGGCGGCAGCAGTGGCGGCAGCGAGAGGATCAGGTAGGGGGGCCTGTGGAAGAGGCGGCTACACGGCATACCCTCAGAATGCTGGGGCAGGTAAAAGCTCTGTCGGTATTCTGTGTGGCTGCAACTCTCCGTCACGTTCTCTGATCTTCCTCATGCTTGTCTTCGGGGAAACCTGCCAAAGAAAACCAAATATTCCAAGCAGAGGCCATGAGACTCAGAGCAGCTGTTAGGCTGTACAACGGAAAGAGCTGTGGAAGCAGGGGAGTTGTTGGGTGGACCTTTAAAAAAGGGGAGGACGGACGATACAAGTTTTCATTTCTCAACAGTTTGCACCGGGCTAACAATGCACTCTTGCCTCCCAAGTTAATCCCTCAGCTGCTGGAGCAGCAAGCTGTATCTACCACTTTTAGGCTATGAGACAGATATTGTGTTTATATCACTCTCAGAAAGGCTCCAGCCTTTTTGGCTTTTAAAGTGGCAGATCCATTTAAGTAGACAAAGGTTCCAAATGCTGCGTTTAGGATCAGGATATAGGACACTGCATCTAAGTGTGGTCTGCCAAAGGTATTTTGGGTCCCCATTTGGGTCCAGATCAGTGATTCTTTCAACAGCTTGGTTATTCAGACACTTCAGTCATGTTTTGTCATGTGACTGGCAAGAAAACCTTGAAATGTAGAGTATTTTTCTCTGTCCCTTGTTGGTCCAAGTCTAGCTAATACGAATGAGGGCTGCAATATGTAGGCTAGGAAGAGCAGTGTGACTTTGTTTCCCACCCCTCTGCGTGCATGGTCAAGCTGAAGGTCTTGTCAGCTGGACTCAGACTGTCGCTGCAACAGACCGCTTTTGAAAGGGTCTGACTTCTTCCTCTCCTCCCCCAGTTGCTTCTGAATTTAGACTTCATACTGAGTTTATCTGGTTAGGCATAATCTCTGAACTGACAATTGGCCACCAAACCAGAATCCAAAACTTCACTCTGAAGTGGATTTGCTGTGCCAGCTGTGGTTTGGCTTGATGTGCACATTAACACACCACAGGTCTGGAGGCCAGGGCACCATGGAGGCAGGAATGAAAACATGAAGCCAAGAGATGGAAAATGAAAGCAAAGCTGCTCTAAACCATGCTCTTTCCATGGTATGTCTGGCAGTTCAAGCCACATTTTGGTTTCTAAAATATGGTTAGCATTAACCAGTACTTTGATATAATGTCCAAAGTGAGCGCTTGTGAGAAGAGCAAAGTAGTTGCAGAAAGCCATCCGCATCCTTAGTCAATTAGCATCGCACCAGGGATAGGTTAGAATAGCTCTACGGAAGAGCACAACCTTTTCCAGGCACTTCTAAAAAGAGCTTGGCTGTCGTTTAAAGTTCTTTGAGCTTAGATGCCATTTCAGCTTTTGTTACCTGCTGCAAACTCCCAATCAAGTTTCATGAGAAATGTTAACCCTTTTTTTGAGTCCACCTATTCAAAAAAAGACAAAACACAACCTTCTCCAGTTCCTTCTTTCCAACATCTCAGTAACCCTCCTGCTAAGGGAGTGAGATTATTTTTACCAATTAGTTCTTTCCCTGGGATTTCAGCTGAGGAAAATACCAATCCGCATTTTGGCATATTGAAGCATTGAAGAGCATCATGAGTGGGCTGTGAGGCTTGCCCGTGCCTCTTTCTTTCTTTCTTTCTTTCTTTGCAATGCTTCCTTGCTGGCCTCGGGCTCGGTGGTGCTACCCGAGTGCTGAGCCCCGGGGGCAAAGGGCCACTTCCTCAGCGGGCTCCATTGCTCCCAATCTTTTTTGCTGCTAAGATTAAGTGGGTTCTTGAGGGTGATGGGGTGAAGAATCCAGATGGAAGCGTCAGCTCTGGGCCCAAATTCCCCAACCTGATTGGAGGCATCAAACACAGAGCAAAAAATTCCATGGTCACAGCTTCTTGCCGCTCTCTCATGATGAAGGTGGGTCTTCCATGCGGAGCTTCTACGCCCACTAGCTAGGCCTCGTGGAACAAAACCAAGGGGAGAACAGGGAGAAGGGCTGCCAACAGCTGGTGCCCCAGCAGACTTGGGGGGAAGGCCTGAATTCGCTGGAGCCCACGGTGAACTCCGTTCCATGCAAACTGGCACTGCTTGCGGGGCTACAAAGGATCATCCGTAGCAGTTTTAATGTTGTGATACTTGGGGGGAAGCCCAAGGGGGGAATTGGCCAGACAGTGATGGGATTACTTTTACTTTACTTTACTTTGTATTTTTTTCTGTCTTTAAAACAAATTGATTTCATCTATTATTTGAGAAAGAATGGACAGTTTGCCACATCCCTTCCCTACATGGCTTTAGTTTTAATTTAAACAGAGAGACACGTTTTCCCATGAAAAAAAGGCTGAGAGTTCTGTCAAAGTAACTTTGCCTTCACTGTTGTCCTGTTTTGATCAAAGTGCTTCTGGTGTCCATTACAACTGAACTGACCATCAGCCAATTTTCTCTGCTTGATATAATTTGGTTGGTTTTTTTCCTTTACTACTATTTGAAATCTGTTTTTAAAAAGAGCAAATTAATGTGTGATACAAAACTAAAGCTAACCCGAAATTAACACCAACATTAATGGCAAGTTTAAAGAGCAGTCTGGGCACCTGCTGTGTCTTCTGTGTTTTGAAAGGAACCCCGGGGGGGGGGGTCTGCCCAAGGGAGGCCAGGAAGCCTGTCCTGCTGGGGGGGGTGTGCTCCATTTGTGGCTGTTTCTATCAAAGGGGATCAGCAGTGATAGTGAATTGTATTCAGGAGCCATGCAATATAATCAGCTTCATGCTAACAGTGCTCAGGTCTGATTCATTACCAGCAAGGGCAGAAATGCCCAGTGCACTCCAGATGGAAGTCATTGGCTTCATTTGTTGTTGATTAGAGCCAGATTGCTCAGAGCACATATGCAAGATCACTTCAAGTGACCACTTAGTCGCCTCTGTGTCTTAAGGAGCACAAAGGTGCAATGTGCAATTGCAACTTCCCTTTAGTTCAGTGAGCATTCATGGATCTCTCCCTGCTGAAAAGATTACAGGGGGTAGGCTGGTTCTGCGTAGTTCTTCTTTCCAGTGAGGAGCTAGTGGTGGAACCCCACAAGTGTACCATTAGCTTTCACCCTGCCGGTGTGTTTATGGATCTCTAGACTGAGAAAGAGTTCCATGTAAAACTACTGAATGCAGGGAACTCTGCCGGGGTGATTTGAAAAATTGACTGCACCAAGGCCCAAGCCTTCACTTGGAATGAAACATGAAAGTTCCAGACGTGGACTAAAAATCAGGCAGTCTGTTTGTTAAGATGGAAATGTGCATTGCAGTTCCGATGTTATGTGTACCCACACTTAAGAGGCAAGGGCAATTCCCAGAGGCAAATCTTTTGGAAAGACATATAAGATGTGGCAATATTTGATGGACATACACACTCAGCTTGCTTCCTGTAAGCCTGCAGGTGAGATGATAGGCATAAATTTCACCCCAGAGGAGAGAGGTTGCTGTTCTGAGAGAAAATCCCATTTGTTTTGGTACAATAAAGAGAAGTTTTATCTATGTGATCAGGTCAGTGGCCTTGGGTAAGGACCCCTTTAGGTTTTACTAGTCTAAAATAAATCACATTGGTTCCAGAATGGTTCATCTCTTGTATTCTGTGGTGCCATTTTTTGGAACTGAAAGCCAGTTTGATGTAGTGGTTTAAGTGTGCGGACTCTAATCTGGGAGAACCGGGTTTGATTCCCCACTCCTCCATTTGCAGCTGCTGGATGGGCATAGTTCTGTCAGAGCTGTTCTCTCAAGGACAGTTCTGGAAAGAGCTCTTGCAGCCCCACCTACCTCACAGGGTGGGGAGAGGAAGGGAAAGGAGTTTGTAAGACACTCTGAGACTCTGAGTGAAGGGCAGGATATAAATACAATCTCTTCTTCTCTTCTTCTTCTTCCTTGACTGATAGGAAAATTATGTGAAACACAAAAGTTTGTTAGTTTTCCAAAACCAAAATGAAGGGATTGTCTTGAACCATCTTGAATCCCTCTCTCAAATCCTTTTTAGTGTATGTGCTGCCAAAGCAAGCACACCCTCTCTCAAATCAACAGATCATCTATGATGCCATGTCAACTAAAATAACTCCATTCACCAGGCAACTATATCTCTCCACATAATGTTTTACATCCACCTTGCAAATGTTTTGCTTACCATTTTGGATGAATTAGAATCTGAGTCACATTAGCATGATAGTCTGCTTTTTGTAACAAGCCCGTCTGAGACAGTTTCACTATCAGCCCCACATTTGTGCCCCCTCCTGAGCATGCCCAGAGGTCCTGTATACGCCAGCTTCCATGTTCACTTCAGTGGAGTGGGCAGATCTCTGCATTTATCCTTTGCACATGCCATTTAACTTGCAAGCAAGGGAACAACGAACGTGTGCCTCAGCATCATTTGCCATCAAGATATCATTGGACTGGGATGAACATTTCCTCTGACATATTTTGAGGACTGTTGGGTTTCTCCCCCCCCCCCCCCATGGCTCAGTTCAGACACTTGCCAGGATGGTGATCCATTCCACTTGATGGGGGAGTGGGTGTGTCCACCACTGCTCTCCCATGTGCCCTAAGGAATATGTGAAGTGAACATTTCATGTGGACATTTGTACATGATGTGATGTTCTGATTCATACAATTCTCTCCATCAAAACAGGGAGAGGAAGCGTAGCATAAGGAGAGCTGCCATGTGTGTGCAGGCTTCTCCCTCGTGGAGTGCCGCGTGTGTGTGCAGGGGAGGTGTGCATCCGCTTCTCCACTCCATGAGCAGATCACCACCTAATAAGATGGCTGAACTGAGTCTACATCATATTTTCTTGAAAATGTCACTTGCTTATTTCCTTTCCGTTGGGAAGGTCCTGTCAGGGTTCCATTTGAAACAGAAAACCAAAAGATAGACTCTGGCAGCCTGTTCGTTTGCCGGATGCTTCTAAGGCTTGATCCCTTTTTCTCCCGCCTCAGTCAAAACTGAAATGGCCAGAGATTCTGCTGCCTGGCCCTGGGAAGGA